CACACACACACACACACACACAATTTTTTTTTTATTTTTAGCCAGCATTTTTCTTTGTCTGCAGTTCACAAAAGTCATTTGTTTAGCTTACGCTAGTTTCTTTGGAACTGTGCCTTCGTTTATGTTCTCTTATTATGAATAAAACTTTTAGTGCCAATTTTTCCTGATTTTATTTTGTTTCATCTTCTTTTATATGTGTATACACTGATTTAGTTAATTGGGAGCTTGTATTTGTGCATGTCTGCTCTATACCACATAATATTTTATATTTTATTATCTAAAATGAACCTATCTGTCAGATTTACTTATCAACTGCATCCTATAAAGATCAGATTTTGAAATTTATAGAATTGTAACCATAAAACCAATGCATGATGGAACAGCACTGTTAAATAATCTGAGATAAGAAGTGGGACACCAGTATGTAAACCCTGAATGAGGCCAAAAGAGTGTCAAAAGTATTCTCTAAATCTTCTCTGAAAAGCAAAACTGTACATAATTAATTTGTAACAGTATTGTTATTAACATTTTGAACTGCTACAGTATGGTATAATATTGTAATAGAAATTTCATTGACAAACATACAAACAAAATATCTGATCTCTGATATTATTGTATGTTTCTTGATTTGAATTCCTTCATGGTTATTTCAATCAGTAACACCTGTGGCTTACATTTGAGAGGCACCCAAGCCAAATCTTGGCCAGGGCATACGCTATCCATGGCTTTCCTTAGTATCTCAAGGCAAATTATGTAATAATATATTTGTATAAGCAATGACTGCTTTCTTTCCAGTTCAGTGAACATAAATATTTTGTTACCTCATTTGGCACCTTTGCAACTGGGACCTACAATGAGAATTTAATGAATGTGAAATAATAATTTAATACATCTGCTTTCACACATCTTACCATTGTTCAAAATTTGCACCATCCCCTTATGTAGTTTTAATCTTAAATTTCAACTTTAATAAAAAAAGTAAAAGTAAAGATATCCCTGTAACAGGCTGTGCAGGCCAATGGTGTTGTGAGACATTGAGGTTCTCACGTTTTCTAGACAATCGGCTCATAGATGGTGGCAAGATTGTCAGCCCTATGTGCCAGCCGCCCTTTACCCCCAAGAATATTCCAAGAATATTCTTGGTACTCATTTATGTTAGAGGTTGAGTTGACCCAAGGGCCATAGTGAGGCTGGAAGGATTAGGTAAATTGAAAAAAATTCAATGACATCATCAGAATTTGAACCCGCAACCTTCTGGCTTGTAGCATAGTGCCTCAAGCAACTATGCTACCTTTATGGAAAGCAAAATTTTAGAGGCATGATACATTATGTACACATTCCTTTCTTAAGGAAAAATATCTTATACACATTAATTTTATGGAACATTATTATACCATTCCACTGTTTCAGTTTTCCACTAGGTTCAATGATTCATTGGTATATCGCAACATCACATTAACTGCTCACATCCTAATCACAATACATGAAGTGATGCAGATGGTACAGGGGAGCACTCGAACTGATGCTGCAAAAGCAAGTATTAAAGCTGTCAGGTTGGTACCATACCTTTGTGTCCATTGAGTCATGTGGTTATGAAACAGAAGTAGTTGTACATTGATGTGTTTTTTTTTGTTCTAGATATCTGGAACACCAGCTCTCATCAATGACCGATCCATATGAAATTGCTATAACAGCTTATGCACTTACATTATGTGATAGTATTGAAAAGGAATTTGCCTTCAGCCTCCTGCACTCTAAAAGACTGGAAGTTGCAGGTATGATAAAATTTGTTTCTACCAAAAAACACAAATCATACTTTCAAACATGATCTAGATGTTATTATTTGTGCATATTCCGTATTTTCCAAAAATTAAACAATCTGCGATACAAGAGAAAGAAAATGTACAGGACAATATTAATTAAAATACTTCAAAGATTTTAAACTTTCTTAGCAGCAATTTGTTTGGCTTGATAACTGCTCTGAAATAAGGCTTGTTCTATTTATGGAATTGTCTCTTAGTTAATTGCTGCAGTTAAACCTTTGAATTATTGTGCTGTTATAACAGCATGATTATAAATTTACTTAGCTACACAGTACAGTTTAGTAATAAGGCTTGTATGAAAAGATAGCATGCCGTTACTTACAAACACATTATCAGTTCTTCAAAGGAACACTAATAATTGTTTGCAAATAATGCAACCTCACGACGTAGGTTGCAAATCTATAGATTCAACTCTTCAAGTTCAAATAAGACTGAAAAAGGGAAATTCCACTGTTTTAGGTTTCAAGGTGCTCTGATGTCAGTTCATGACATCAACAAGACTTGGGGCACTCAATTAAGTTTTCATGAAAGTTTCAGATTTTAAACTTAAATGTTCTTCTTTCTCAGCTGAGTTGCATGTCTCAAAGAAAATATTTCCCTAACACTGTTAGTACCACAATGCAGAGTATATGTTTGGCAAGAAATGACAATGTATATACCTTTCTGTATATGGCATGTTTTTATGTAATTTAATTCGTTTTGTTTGGCATGGAAAAGTAACCTGAATTTGCAACTTCAACTCAGATATTTGAGGAAAAGCAGAAATTGTGTATTTGAATTATGAAAATTCTTCATTCCTGCTTTCTGTGTTTCATTACATGGTTTAAATTTTGGATTGTAAATTGAAGTACTTTCTGACATATTCAGAAAACATATATTGGGCAGTGATAGTTTCTTTTTTTCAGTATACTGAAACATGTTTTTCTATAGCTTATGGTTCAGACCGTACACTGTATAAAACAATGTTTAATTTCATATAACCTTGTTATACAATCCTTGTAACTCAATCGCTCCATGTAGCTAAATTACACTTGTAAAAAATTAAGAGTAGATTCAATTCAGAATTATTTATCCTTCCATTTTTTGCCTAAAATATAAAAGCCGAAATATAGAAATTTGAATGTAGCTCTTGTTTTGTACAATCTTACACATAAAGGGAAGAACACAAATTGAAAATGTTCGAGAACAGGGTGCTCAGAAAATATTTGGACTTGAAAGGCAGGAAGATATCGGCTGCTAAAGAAAATTACACAATGAGAAAATTCATGATTTGTATTCACCAAATAATGTTAGGATGATCAAATCACCAGTGATGATATGGGTGTGGCACTGAGCATTTGCAGGAAGATGAGAAGCATGAAGGTATAGTTTGAAGGCCTGAAGGGAAAAGATCATTAGGAAGACTGGGGCACACATTGAAGGATAATATTAAAATGGAGCATAAAGAAATTTAGTGTGTAGTTCTGAAATGGATTCATGTGTTTCAAAATAACCATAAGGAACAACAGATATATGAACACATTGAGTCTCCAGATTCAATGAAAGGTGGAGAATTTTTAGCTAGCTGAGCTATTATTTGGTTCTCAAGAAGAATGTTGCTGTATTTCAGCTTTCTTTCTTTCTTTCTTTCTTTATTTCATTTTCCCATAAATCAAAATACATTGATACAGGACTTGTCATATCACAATACTATCAGCAAAAAACATATACAGAATTTCTTCAGGTAAACAATACATATAAATCATGCTTATCAAAATGAAAAGCTGCATAAGAATCAAGACAAAAGATTATATCAACCACGCCAAGAAACTGTATCAGATCAGCAATTAGATTATAAATTATTTGTAAGAAACAAAGTTCTCCATTATTCTTGAGTCTAGATATTCCCGCAATGAGTAAAAAGAGCCAATATGGAGAATTTTTTAAGGCATGTTTAAACTTATTAATATCATTTGTCATATTCTTAAGATTCTGTGGTAAATTATTAAATATCATAATCCCTTAAATATCATAATCCCAGAAGAGTAGACACATTTTTGGACTTTAGTTAATTTATAAGTTGAATGACGTAAATCCGAACCTCATCTGGTATGGACACTATGTATATCAGAATTTAGTGTGAAAGTATCCATATTTTCTTATCTGAGCATGCCATCACACAAACAAAATGTTTGATGAAATGATTGTTTACATGATTCTTAATCTTGAAAACCTGATGAAGACAGCAAAAATACTAAAAGTTATCTTTCAATTGTATTCTCTTCAATTTTTAACTTGAAATTTGTTTTCATTGTTTGCTGCTTTTATGAAGTAGGTTCCGGTACTTAAATTAATCATATTTATCCAAAGTAGCTGTTCTTTAACTAAGAAACATGATATGCATGTATCTGTGCCATAAATAAATATGAAATAATGAGTGCTTTGTGACAGGGCTCATGCACATTCTAGAAATAATCACCTGAACAGGCTAGAGTTAATTTGTATGCTGGCCATTAATAATGTTACAGATGGTCTGCAATATTGGTCTAGAGTGCCAGTGCCCGGAAACACAATCAGATATGAGAATCAGAGGCCTTTCATTTGTCCTCGAGACTATCAGACAGATGATTCTGTAGCAGTGGAAGCCACATCATATGCTCTCATGGTGAACCTCATGAGGGATGGAGTTACTGTTTTATCCGAGAAGATTGTGCAATGGCTCACTTCAGTTAGGATGGGCAGCAGTGCCTTCATCTCAACTGTGGTTAGTACTGTGGAAACAGTTGAGCAGCTTGGCTTACTTGAAATTTTCTAGTATGAATTTCTGGTTGATAATCTTAAATTCTCCCTAACACTGACCATTATCACAAAATGAATTAACCATTTAGGCATAAAGAGTTATTGAAGTATGTGAATAACCAACAAAACAGAAAAATTCAAACATAGTATGTTCTGTCTTATTCCACATTTAAAATCTGATTAAAATTAAATGATGAACATTACTGTCATCTTGGATGGGACACTATGAAATCTGGTAATAATGTACAGAGAAAGCAATTTTGCTCTTCATTGCAAACTGATATTTTTTAATACAAAAATATATGAAAACTCATTTGTAAAAAACAGTGAAAAAGCTTGTTTGAACTGTCTTTATGTATGAGGACCATATTGGGCATCCCAAATTGTAACTTTGATGAAAGAATGTGTTAATAATAGAAGCAAAGTGGAAATGTCCGAATTCTTTTCACCAATTTTAATACATAATTTGTCTCATTATATCCATAATTTATAAGAAGAGATGGTATCTGTTCAGTTAGATGTAATCTTCCTCTTCCATATTTTATTACATTCCAGTTTATTTTTTATCTGATCATCCAATTTTGTTATAAGCCTACACTAATGCTGCCTTTTAGCCCCTTTTATAACTCTGATCAGGATTCTGCAATGCTTAATGTCATATGCTCTCGTATGTGAATTATTACTGTGCCTGCTATAAATATACAGACTCCTCTTATGTCTGCAAAATATATCTATTCCTTGTGTAATCCAGTCATTTTTATTCTACCTACAATTTTATTCTGAATAAGGAAATTATATAAAAAAGTTAAACATAGTTTGTATCCTTACTTTTGAGAATAGGTTCCTGCATTTCATTTTCTAATGGATGCTGAAATTGAATGATGGTTTCATTATTTAATTTTCTGGTACTCCGTTTTAAGAGTATTAAATTTACTTTTATAATAATATTATTTACTCTAATGAATTGAGCATTGAGGTCTGAGAGGCCATTGACTGTAGAAGATGTACAAGAAGAGCTTAACCTTGTGCTATCTATAAAAATATTATCAATATCTATTCTCCAGGAATTTTGAATTCTTGTTGCAAAATTAACAGAATGTGACAAATTTTATGTCTCTAATAAAGAGTTTACTTATTTTTATGGTTATTTTCATTTAAATAGTTTATGTTTATGTCTCCATAGATTATAAACTAAGATTTAGATTGTACAGATATTTTAAATGCTCATCTAGTCTCCTTATAGAATTCATTAAAATCTCCTGAAGTAGCTCTGTACAAGCTTAATATAATTAGGTTCGATGTCCTAGTTACTAACTTCTATCTGAATTGCAGATTTCAAAGTCCTACTCCTTGCAGTGAATAGGAGGCTGGTTGGGCCCCAGAGCCGGTCTGGATGCTATGGAGAAGAGAAAAATTTCTTGCCTCTGTCATGAATCGAACCCAAGCCACCCATAAACTTAGAAGAAATGTGTTTTGTCTCATATAAAATTATTTATTTCAGGATACAGTGATTGCATTACAAGCTCTAACTGAGTATGCCTTCCGAGCTCGTCTGAAGGATATTACAGATTTAGCCATCACACTGGAACTCCCAAGTACTGCTGGATTCAGAGAGACAGTACATATAGATAATGAAACCTTCTCCGATCTTCAAATGTTTGAAGTATGTCATATTAAGGTATTCTGTATTGTTATATTACTGCAGCTGTTCCTGAATAATGAATTGTATCATGGTTTATTTAATGACACTATTCAACTGAGAATAGGGTGTCAAGGAGACTATTTGGACCAAAGAGGGATGAAATAATAGGTGGTTAGAGGAAACTGGAGGGGAGATCCTAACTTGTATTCTTTGCCAAATATAATTAGCATCATCAGGTCAAGAAGGATTAAATGGGCATTGCATTTTTCATGCACTGGGGGAAGAGAAATGCATATAGGATTTTGGTGGGAAAATCAGAAGGAAAGATGCCACTAGGAAGACCTAAATGTAGGTTGTCTCACTGTATTTTAAGACCTGAATGAAGTTTATGTTTAGTAAATTTATTTCCTTCTTTGGTTTATAATTTTCATGCCAGAAGACTTACGTTTTCCATTTTTTTCTTATTTCATCCTTTTGGCCAAGCCCCTGACTTATAACATATCAGTATGATACCTAATGCTAAATTTACATCAAATTCAACTAAGTTTAAGGTGCAATATATTTCATAATATACCAATAGATTATCATTATTTTGGAATTTTGATAAAATTGAAATTAACATGGACAACTTAAATTTAAATACTCAATGGTACTGACAGTAAAATTATAGTAAAAACATTTTGTACAAGGTAATACTATGGAATTTACTCTGAAACTGGCATATTTCACACTTTTAGTGAACAATTTGTCTGTTCCCACTGCAGGCCATTGATGTGAATGGCTCTCTGCATAGTAGTACAGTGTAGTAATTCATATATAATAGACATGGGATAATGATGAAATAGTTAAACATAAGAGATCAGGCACATTCTGCAGTTCCTATGACACAATTATATGAATTTAAAATATGTAGGAATCATAGTAGCACTTTTTTTCCCAATGTTTTCTGGAGACTGTTTTAAAGGGATAATTTGACATTACATTTTGGATTCTTTGGATACTTTTATTACTGTGGCATAAATGGTTTATTTCAGGTTCCAAATGTATGGGGCCATTTAAATGTAATCTCCAAAGGCAGTGGGCAAGCTGTTGTGCAGATGGATATCAATTTTGGTGTCGATTATGAAGGATTTAGGGAGTTGGCAATAATTGAGACTTTTAACTTAGAAGTAAAAGAATTTTATTCATCATTCAGGAACAAATCTTTCATTACCATTCAAAGCTGTTTTCGGTAAGTTTATTGGCTCTTTCATACAGTGATCAGATGTCAAAATTAAAATGACTGAATTAATGTCATACATTACATTTAACACTCTGTTGATGTGTGCTTGTACACTCTGTTAATTAAGTGTTGCGAATAGAACAACCAATGAACTACTTTGTTCAGTGACATGTGTCTGGTTAGTAAAACTTAGCATAGGGCCATATGCACTGGTGATATCAGAACTTCATTGATCATAACCATTATCACCAGGAGGCGCAGTTTAGCATGTATTTCATGTAAAATTCAGTGTTGGAGTATTCCCTTTCTTATACAACAGAACACTACAGACCTGAATCCCATTTGTTCCTTTATACTTCTAAGTAATGTCTTCTGCTATTATTACCTATAAAGACTAATTTCCCCCCTCAAAATAATTTAAAAACATATCTGGAGATACAGTGAGACCTCTATAATATGGAAGCTGGCGTGAAACAAAACATATCTTCATCAGAAATGTCTCCGGTGCCAAGAACATTCATAGCAATTACACTAATGGTTTTATATATTTTAAGGTAAAGCTATCCCTGTAACTGGCCATGGTGGCCCATAGGATTGTGAGATGTCAAGGCTCTAGACAATCGGCTCACAGATGGCAGTAAGGTTGTCAGCCTTAAGCATTGGCTGCCCTTTAACCCCAGGAAGATTCATGGTACTCAATTCTGTTAAAGGTCATAATGCGGCTGAAAGGTTCATGTCAATTGAAAAATCCATTCACCTCACTGGGAATCGAACCCATGACCTTCCAACATGTAGCACAGTGTCTTAAACCGATTATGCTACTGCATGCCCCGGTTCTGTCCTAACACATTTAAAAATGGTTGTATTGAATTTTATTCCTTGTGTATATAACATATTTCAAATATGTAAGTGAAAGAGCTAATATTTTCCTCTATTTTATGCTTCGGTTTCCCAACCTGTAATGCAGGTGGCTCCTGGAGGACCCTCCAATGAGCGGTCTTTCTGTGCTTGAACTTGAACTTCCAACAGGCTACAATCTTCTTGAATCAGAAGCTGAAAGGCTTGTACGGTCTGGAGTGCACCCAACACTGAGAGATGCAAGAATTATAGAAGGAAAAACCTTTTGGTTCTTTGAGCATGTAAGTTTCTCTCTGATATATTGGGTTTCTGGACTTTATCCATCATCCTGGTTTTTAAGATAACAAATAAAAACACAACGTTTCGGAAACTGGATCTGTTTCCGTCCTCAGGTGAAGGAAAAGGGAAACACCTATTCTGTTGGGTCTGTTAGAAAGAGCTAGCCTCAATCACTGGACAAACCAATGTCACAAAACATGAAGATTATAAATACCTGAGACCAGGCTAAGTCCATGAGAGCTAATAAGAAAAATATTCATAACAAATTGTTGCAAACACATACAAGCATGCAACCAGGATAGATAGATCTGTAGAAACTTCTTACATAAAGTTACACTAAGTTACAGCATAAGCATAGAGCATACAGCAAGTCATATGGCATGCTGAAAGTCCTGGTAACTGTAATTCCACTGCTTTATTCCGTACAGTTTGTTAATGAGTGGCTTTTGTTCAACAGATCATGCAGAACTGGACATGCTTTAATCACACCGTGAGGAGATGGTACCCAGTGGCAAACATATCTTTAGTCCGACAGGTTCAGCTGTATGAGACTCATGCAAAAGGTGGAAAAGATGCTTATGTATCACATAATAATTTTGGACAGGGTTGTTATTAAATGAAAACATTATGTTCATTGCTAATCAGGAAGTTGACATATAATTTCAAAGTGTGATATTCAGATGCCATAAGTCCTGTGAGATGATCGCATTAGTGAAGAGCACTGAAGATATTGATTTGAATAGTTAATATACTTTATGTTAAATTTAAATTTTGGTACAACTTGAATGCTCTGGTAATTAAATCTATCCTACATCTCAGCTGCCTAAAAGTGAAAACAATAATATAGATAACACACATGAACATGTTTATTTTTGTCAGAAAATTATGAATTCTCAGCTTTTACTAATGTGACTACCCAAATCATGTTACATTTTTTATCATTTGCAGAAAATAAGTTTTTTATTTATGCTGATGTACTCAAATCCATTGTGGATTGCAGACATGGAATTTTTACATAAAGCCACTGACATTCTAAAGAAGTATTTCGCTTCTATTCTTGTATTTTGCATCATGAGCAGCAAGTTATAAAAAATTCATTGCGTTAGGATTTCTCGCTTGAAATTTTTGATCTATAGACTGTTTTGGTGGATGGTAAACTGAATTTCATGTTGAAAAGGTCCAGTGACTCATTTATATCCCTGGATAATTTTTCTCCTATTCTTTACTTTGATACTTTCATAAAGCAGAAGTTTATAACAATGAAGTTATGATTAAATATTTCCTAGAGAGCTTGATAAGGAATACAAAACTTTTATTTGCAGTTCATATTATTTTAATAATCATGGATTCAATATTCACAGTAAACTGCTTGCAGTTCATTTCTATAGAATAAATTTGTTATAAGAAAGCAAACTACTATCACAAATTATACATAATTGAAGTATGTCTAAAACACTGATTACTGACCATTCTCTTTTCCAGAGAACTTCATAATGATACTAGTCAATTCTACTCCATTATATACTTTGAACATCTGTGAAGTGTGTGGTTCATACCAGTGCCCCTACTGCCCTTATTACAGTCAGACTGCTCCATTTTCTGCCAGTAAATTTATTACAGTTGTGCTTTTGATCACCTCGCAAATCTTGAAAACGTTTAGGCAGTTTACATGACAGTGAAATCAAGAAATTACATTTCAACTCTCATGACAGAAACTGAAGAAATATATTTGTAGAACTACTAGATAACAAAGTAGTCTTTGTGCACAATTATTTTGGGGCCTCCTTTTGATATCCATGCTTCAGTTTGAACAGAGGCAGTATTTAAAAAAATACAATGGTGACTACATATTTTTGGAAATACTGTCATTATATCTGCAGAAGGAATTCAGCATCTGTATTAACAGAGTTGCTGTTACGAATGAAAAGGATGTAATCTGAAGGAACATATTTTCCAGCCTTACATCATGTAATTACAAATTGTAAGTATTACTGAATTTCTAAATACGAAGTAGATTTTCGCTTTGTCTTTATTCAGTTTTTGATGTTCTGTGCAATAAAATGATGCAAACCACCTCAGACCAAGTGTTATCCACTACCATGGGCATGAGGATTGTCAAGAGAGTAATATTACATGATTCCTGTATGATCCATCTCAATATTAAACTCCCATTTTGGGCTACTTCTCCCATGCACTTTCAGGCAAATGTGTATGAATATCACATATCCAAGATAAATCCATGATGGTTGTACAAACTTGTGAGGTGGTAACAATAGCAGCATTCAGAGTCTTGAGGAACTGTCTGATGGCAGATCTTTGAAGACTATAAACTTTTATCAAGGTGTATTTTAGGTGACCACTTGTAATGTTTTGTTGTGATGTTTATAATTAGAGAACAGTTATAACTTGCATGTGACATTTATGTTAATAGCAGAAATGGTCTAATTATTTGGAACCCTAAATGTGTCACACTGAAAATGGCACACTAACATTTTTTTCTTTTTTTTCAGTTCTCTTCTTCATGTAGCCGAGCTCCAAAGTACAACTGAGATGCCACTAATTTAGGTTTAAACTTGTTGGCTAGCTACCTAGTACAGAACAGTCTTTGAACATTGACCTAGTGGCAATTCTATGTATTATGATTTAGGTAAGATTTTGATAGTAACTGGTGTAACTCATCAGCTGTTATTCCTCTAGCTCTAATTTATAAATATAGTAAAGTTAGAAAAAATATTGCATATGATTTCTTATCAGGATGAACAAAATTTGTAATATTCATTAATCACAAGTGATGTCATATCCTATGTTAAAATACATGAGTCACTATAAAACTGGCACGTGTAATGAACCATGCAATAAAATGTGTTTATTTATTGTAAACAGAGGGGAGAAGGAAGAGAAAAGAACAAGGAAGGAATGACTTGCACTGGAGTATCTTATAAAACCCATTTATAACATACAAATTAAATACATTTCATACAGTGTACATATAACTGACTGAAGATATTAATTACTTTATTTACACCTTCTATAAAAGATGATTGTTCAAGGCTGACTACAGTTGGATGAGTGTATACAGCTGGGCCTGCGAAGTATATCATCTCCGAGCAAAGTTTTTATTCATTTCTCTTCCAGAACGTTGAATGTGGTTTATATTGGCCTTTATTCGACTTTCAACAGAGCCCTGAGATGCGGCATAAGAGAGTTGTTTCCTGAAATCCATTAAAAATTACATTATTTCAGATTATACTTATATTCCATCCCACAGTTACAGCTTACATAAGTAACTAAAGACCATATAACTGCCTGTACTGCATACCTGAGAAAGTCTCCATTGTATTCTTTGATTTGATTCTTCTCTTTTTCATCTTCAGCCTTATAAATGGCTACGTTCTTCTCCCTCTCTTTCTCTCTCCATTTTGCATTGTTCATCATTTCTTGTCTCTTTTGTTCTTTTTCCTTCTCACTGAGCTTCTTCCTCTCAGGTTTAACCCATACCTTCTTGGCTGGTGAGGACTGTGACTGCGACGAATCTCGCCTCTTTTGAGTTTCTAGGATAGGCTGATGTTTCGTTATATAAGAATGATTTCTAGATCCATCTGTTCTCTGTAACAGAGCAGTGCCACTTATTATGAGACAGTAGCTTCTAAACCAAAACTTCATAATTTACACCATCCAATCTTCTTTAAAAAGCCTAACGCTTACAATTCTGTTCTTTATTCTGTCCCCTATAGTCATTATTATTAGAATTAGTTATGGATAAGACAACCAGATAAATATTATACAGTACAATAGGTGGTAGGTGATGCGCTGGGAAACCAAGAACTAGATGGATTGATGCGGTGGAAGAATATGCAAAGAAGTTAATGGGCGTAAGGAACTGGAAGAGAGCAGTGCAGGATAGAGAGGAATGGAGGGGCTTGATAAGGGAGGCCAAGACCTGACATAAAAAGAAGAAGAAGCAGAAGAAGGAGGAGGAGAAGGAGGAGGAGGAGAAGAAGAAGACCAGATAGCAATAAGAGGTACCTATGCTTAAGTTGGCATTCGCATTCAGCTGTTTAGGCTTACTTTAAGACTGGTGTGTCACGCTCTCATACAGTTCACTGACATGAAGGCGCGGCGGTTCATGGTCCTGACAGATAAAAATGAACCGCTGTGCCTTCGCATCAATAAACTGTATGAGAGCGGGACACAGCAGTCTTAAAGTAAGCCTAAATAGGTTTAACATTGTGTCCATGGCCGAATGAGAATGTGGTGATGGGCTGCGAACACAGGAACATATCATCTGGGACTGTAAACAGTAGGACCAAATGGCAACACTGATGGACATCTTGTCCGAGAATAGCATTGCCCAAAATCAGTTACAGAGCACTTAAGCTAGAAGAAAAAGGATTTCTGCAAGGTGTCTGTTACTTCATAAACAACATTCCTATATTTATATAAAATAGATATGTAAGAAGTGTAAAAAAAGTAATTGCACTGGTTATTTACAGTATACACACAGATTTAAGTCAAGATCTATATTAATAATCGTGGGGCTACAGATATTATAGGATAAGATGTTTGTTAAAATGTGCTACAGAAGGCTGCATGCACACTGCCTAGGCCTCTTTTGCATTTACATTTTTTTCTTCTTTAAAAAAAGTTTGCTTTACATTAAAATAATGGTTTAATGTACATGAGTGGATCAATGGGATGATTATCTGTGAAAACTGCAACAAGAAACAAAGTTTTGAATTGTTTCATTTTGGTCCGTTACACTATTAATCACCAATTGTCTATAGATTTTCCGTCGAGTGCAACACTATATATTTTGGTCACTTATTATCTCGTCTGCCTTACATGTTTCGGTTCCAAGGAACCATCTTCAGAGGCACTTACAACAAATCATGAAAACACTGGCACAGCTCAACATCCACAGTATGTAGTTATTTGTGGAGAATATTACATATATCGGAATGTAAAGCACAACACTTCCGATATATGTAATATTCTCCACAAATAACTACATACTGTGGATGTTGAGCTGTGCCAGTGTTTTCATGATTTGTTGTAAGTGCCTCTGAAGATGGTTCCTTGGAACCGAAACATGTAAGGCAGACGAGATAATAAGTGACCAAAATATATATTGTTGCACTCGACGGAAAATCTATAGACAATTGGTAAGAAACAAAGTGTTTATTTTGAAGATCTGGCTCATTTCTTGCATTAGGACAATTCAGGATAATGAGTGGCTGCATATTCATACATGGGAAGATTACAAAAGGTACATATGAAAAAAAAAATGAATGAATGGTGGTAATGTCAAAATAATAGCTATTAGTTAGATTTATGAAGCATCTGTTAAGTGTTAATTTGTATCTGAGAGCAAGATCACTCAATGCCAACTGTTATAATGGCTCAAGTCATGACAGAAATAACTATCTCTGTTTAGTTTTGAGGTAGACAATGGACATTACAATGCTCCTTTGCCAGTTGAAGAAAAAGACAGGTCAGGTATCTGACAAAGTCTGTTCACATGGGCAAACTTTGCTGAAAACGTTTCCTTTCGATAGAAGCACCAGTGTATGCGTATTGTTTAGTCTATCTTCCTATAAAGTTAGACCTCTTTCCACAATTTTTCATGTTACTGAAATTTCATGTAGTATGCTACTAAAATAAGGGAAATGAAAATGTAATTATAATGACACTGGTTGTATCAGTTTTTGAGAAAGATTTGCCTTACATACCTGTAAACCATACCCTCTGGCTGGTTTGCAGTCATTCCTGCCCTCACTTGAATCTGATTCATTTGCTTTGTTTCTGTTACTGGCATCAGCATCTGAAGTACTGCTCATATTCTTTCTAAGCTTTGCTATATTTTTCTTATGAAGCTTTTCTTTGAGTTTGATGTATTTGGCTGCCAAAAGGGCATCAAGGTCTTTTCCACCATCTTTATGTGAATAATCACTGTCATGCCTATTTTTCTTTTTTTCACTCTTTTTTCGTTTATCTTTTTTATGTTTTTTTGTCTTTTTGGACTTCTCTTCTTTAATCTGTGAAATGGAACAAACAATTTTCTGTGTTAATGCAAGTTTAGGTAAATGCAGTGTACACAGGCTGGAACTTTAAAACTAGCTGAACTGTCAACAGCATACCTTAATCAGGCACACAATTCATCATATCAGTCAAAGAGATCATGAACAAAGAACTGTGACTACTGTCCTTTGAAACTGCAGTAACAGATAATGTACTCTTTAGGTGCGTTCAAGTGGATTTGCTACCAGAAGATCATGATGTACCTTGGAGGATTTGAGGTTTTCACAGCTGTGGTTATGAAGAGTTCTGTCTTTGGGATATAATGCCATGTGGTCTGTTGACAGTCAACAGACATTTTGGAGTAACATGTCACCTCCATCTTTATGGTCAAAGAATAAACAGAGCAAGAATGCTACCTGCTTCCATGTTGTTTCTTCTTCGTCCCTGAAGATGGAGGATAACAGATTCCTCCAAAATGTTGGATGACTTTCAACAGGCTACACAGTGTCATATCCCAGAAGACAGAACACTTCATGGTGTACCTTGTTGTATTTTGGGTTCTCACTGCAGTGACAACAAAGAGTACTATCTTCTGGGATGTAACATTGTGTAATTTGGTAGAAATTTGCTGATACTTTGAAGGAGCATACTCCATTCAGATTCAGAGACAATGGGTAAGACAAAGAACCAACTGGTTTCTTGCTTGACTTAGTCTTCAACCCTGAAAATGATGACAGTTTTCTGTGAACTACTGGACTACACAGCATTGCATTCATGATACACACTGTTCTCCATCTGCTCTGAATATTCCTTTCCTATTTTTACACTAAGGCAAAGACACATTTACGAGTATAATGCTCCCTGTCTACCTTCTGAGCATTCATGCTTGTCTGCTAAAGGATATTTGAACTGTCTTCATAATGCCTTATTAATTAACCCCTAAACAACCACTGATAACACCTTAATACTTTAAACAATAATGTACATATTAATACACATAGAAAACAGCAGTTATCTTACAAATTTTGGACTCCTGTTGTTTGCACTTATTTTCTAGGGGAGTCACAAATAAAATTCCAACAGTGTATAGATTCCACTATATGATAAATGATATAATGATACAAATTCCGCCCCAAGCGCAAACAATATATTATGTGTCCTTGATCTTGCTCCTCTACACTACAGGTTTCAGCCTCAGACAGCCATCATCAGGTGTATAACACTCACGTTGCTGTCACACTGCACCCAGCCCAAAATTTAACATTTAAAATACTTTCCTTGTTATTATCAACATCTACTTCATTGATATCTGTCTGGTTTGTAGATTATTTTACACACGTTAATTTTGATGTTCCTGTAGTAGCACTATAGAATCTTTAGTTCTAATTTTAAAATCTTTTAAAATTTTTCTCTAAATTTTAAATTTAAAATTGTTAGGGTTACTCGCCCTATGTCTAAAGTGCTGCAGCGGCTAGTTCTTGTTTCCACACTGTATAGGTGTTATCTGTAATATATAAATATATTCGTATTATTATCTTGTGTACGTAATGTTTTCTTATGTGTTTATATTGTTATTTGTACTTACCCTGTGTAGTCTTCCTGTGTGATCTCAGATGTACTGTGTGCTGAGTTTTATGTTGGTGAGTGTAGGGGGGGATGGGTAGTGGGGAGAGAGAGGTACGTTAGTCTGTGTAGATTTTGTGTATCGTTTGAAATATGGGATTGTGTGTTTCTATGTGTGTATCATTCATGTGTAGGCCTTTCTTACTTATTTTATATATATGGTATTTCTCTAATGTATTCAAATGTCTGCCCTTCTTTCCCGTTGTTACAACTTCCATTACCTCTGTTATTGTTCCGTATGCATGCCCTGTATTTAGTATGTGATTTGAGTACCCGGAATTGCTATCATTATTCCTGATATCATGTATATGTTCTTTATATCTAGTGTTAAATGTTCTGCCCGTTTGCCCAATGTACTATACTGTCACAGACTACTCGTATTACGACATTCTACAATCACCTAACAGAGATACAGTGTAGCTGACAGTGTGTAAAGACCCACCAACAATACACTGGGGCATATGTAACATACACATGCAGGAAGTACATCAAGATTCGTCCTTACCAATTCTTGCAGCTGTTTCAATTTTACTGGATTCCTCAAAATCTGACTCCGACTCTCAATTTCTTTCTTCTTTATGATATACAATGGATCCTCCTGTAATTTTCTTGCCAGATCCACTTGTTCACTGCGACCAGAGAACACAGAACTTGGGAGACAATCTAAAACAACATAAAAAGGATTGATCAATAAACCTTTCAGTAATCTAGTGCACCATATCCTATAGGATCTGTACCCTGCCCCCCACAAGTATGCTGTGAGGATTTTAATTTTAAATTGAAGCATTTAATCAAATTTCATATGTTGGGGGTGCTCAAAATTTTATTCACATTGAATGCATGATAGGAATTACAATTATTATGGCTAGTTTAGTATACAAAGACTGGCTGAGGGACAGAAATACACTAATTTGAACTGGTATAAAGCGGTTTGTGGGGAGGATATAGCTTAGAATATGTTATCAGAGCTGCTGCTGCCATGCTGTAACACAAGTTACATACCTAGCTCAACAACGTTCTTTGATGACGCAGATGCCTTTTCTGTGTGTTGCATCTGCTCAAAGGATTTGTCAATAGGACGACCCAGAAGATATTCTTCTCTGTCTACCATACCACCTGGTCCTTTATACATCCAGTCCAGTTTCATATTATCCTTTTTCCTGTAACAATACAGAAGTTTTATAAGGAATTTGTTAATTCACCACAGTGTGCTTTTCATAATTATGTACACACTTTAATAATTCAGTGGAACTGTGTCTTGGAACTGGACAAGAATATTATTAATTTAAGAATTCAAATTCTGTTTTTTGTAACTACTGCATGACTGTAGTTTGGAAGCTTCCTGTGAGTTCTGTATTAATTTCAGTTTCATAAATGTCCTGCATGGACAACATGCAGTAGCCTAGAGGATTGAGGCACTATGCTACAAGCCAGGTCATGGGTTCAATTCCGGATGAGGTGATCGGATTTTTCAACTGACAATCCTTCCAGCTGCCCTATGGCCCTGGGGTCGACTCAGCCTCTTAACAGAAATAAGTACCAGGGATCTTCCTGAGAATAAAGGGTAGCTGGCGCGTAAGGGTGACAACCTTACCGCCATCTGTGACCCAACTGTGTAGAAAATGTGGGAGCTTCAGTGTCTCACAACCCTATAGGCGTCCATGCACTGTGACAGGAATAGCTTCACCTTTTATGGATGCCACACTGTACTATTTTTCAATTTTCAGTAGAGTCTTTGACTTCTAATGCCATAGGTAAAAGACAGCTGAGAGAATAAATTGATATAGATTACATAAAGTGTCATTTGCTAAAAATTCTGTGCCATGAGTTAGCTGTGAGGCAGTCACCAGCCAGTAATGTAATGAGCATAAGAGGACACTGTTGGGATCTCTTACCAGGCAATGGCTAGTAAAGACACTGAAAACTTAGCATGTGCTGAACTGACAAGCAACAGTTCGCGAATTACTGAGAGCATTATAATTACTTGTAGTTATGATTTATAAGTGTTCAATAAATCCTGAAACACCATGACTAGTCGTATGTGACAATATTACCACAGGCACCTACAACCACGGTATTTAAATGTTTGTGCTGAAGGGCCAGTAAATGTACCCGTTACCTTATTCCTTTACACATTCTGAAAAAAGTGAACATAAATTGGTACAGTATGCTTTACAAGAATGTTAATTACACATACAGTAGATGCCTGGTACTTTTATGTTAAAGGTTAATCCAAGTAAATTTAAGACTTTACCACAATGTTAACACAGCCAACTGCATATGTTAAAATGAAGTCCAAAACCTAACCTTAAATGTTTTTTTACATATATATTTTTAAAAACAAAACTACAAATATAATCTTGTGAACTTACTGCAGGCAAATTCTCGGGTTAATTCAGGCACTGTTTTTACTAATAAACTTCTACAAATTGCAGCATTAATGTGGCAGTAAATTGTAAAGTTACTCGAGTCACCCACTGATATGTACTGATGCTTCTGTGTCACATTTCTTTTGAAGCATTTTATTAAGACAGGTTAAAACTTACTCTACAACACCTTTCTCTTCAGCATATTTCTGAATATCTTCTCTTGCTCTCTCTTCTCTGATTTCACGTTGCAGTTCAGCTATTCTTTTCTTTTCTTGATCATATTTCTGCTCCGCCTTCCACACTTTCTCCATATTCCTCATTGTTGATGGATGCCATGACTTCTTTAGGTTCTGAAAGCAGGACAATGTTAATATGTCACACCTGTTATTCAAATTAGTAGATTCATGATAACAAAAACATGTATGCACTACGTGAAAACTGCCAGTCTTTATACACCTATAAGCAACTGTCATGTTAGCAGTAAAGTCAGTCTATAGTTTAACTACAGAAAAGTATGTTAGGTTCATTTTGTTCCTGTTACAGTTTCTTGCTTAGGGATGGTGAGACTGCCATGCCACTTGCATGAAACCCCTTTTCAGCTACTGAAGTAAACTGCCAAATCACATGAAAGTTGATATGAATCTGGAGGTCAACCCAAAGTCAACACTTGTGACTTCTTATAGTACACAACATAACACACTCACCGTCCTATGAAAAATGGGAGTGAAACAATGTATGACGATAAAACTCTGAAATATGGCATATATTCATTCCATCAAATTCTCCACAAATAAGAATATCTAACCAATTCTAAATTGTAATCAGCAGTAAAATTGTAACTATTGTAATTTTAATCTACTTATATATCAAATTGTTAATATTCAGAATTAACTTGACTTGTCATATATCATGTACAATGATCTACAGTGATGAAATCAATCAATCAATCAATATTGTAATTTCAATAACTTTATGGCCACATGAACACCTTCATTCAGCTTTCAGTCTTAAAGAGAAAGTAGGTGGGCCACTGATGCTAAGAATGCTAAATTTCATATAAAATTGACTGTAAACAAACTTAAAACTATGAAATACTGTCTATAAGTTAACTATTACAAACAACGGGTACTATGTGAAGCCCTATATAAAAAAGAAAAAACATAATGCAGGCCAAATCTTGGCTGAAGGTCTTCCACAAATAATAACTGTCACATTCAAGCAACTCCGGGGGGGGGGGNGAGATTAGTCAAGTAGGACTGCAACTTATAAATATGTATTAAGGAGTTAACGTTACCCTGAATTAAACTGCATTTCATCTGATTATAACCTTGGACTACCTAATACAATATCAACTACACAAGGTTTGCAGCTCTCGGAGTGGGCGCAACAGGAACGAGGGTTAAATGAATTCTACTCGGAATTCCTTGATTTAAATATCTGTTGTGTTGGGTAATGAACACCTATTTTTAATTACGATACTTTAACTCCGTAATTACTTACAAATGGCTAAAAATACACCACTTCTGTATATAAATGACAACTTTTAATTATCTAATCAACATCTTAACCTCAAATCCTAAACATCTAAATAAATTCTCGTATTATACACTACATAACAAAATGCCTACTTGCATACGTTGAATTAATGTATCAGACATACCAAATCTCCTCCACCCATCGTTCTGTCGGCAATCTGCAGTCAAAAACTGTGACAACTATGAAATAAATAATTATATATTACACTTATTACGTCACTCAACTTGTATCAACAGCGTCTCGCATTTCTTGCTCGTCGACCATATGAGATTACTGATTACTGACGTTACTAAGCTACTAAGACTATTAAAGACCCAGACGACCCAGACGAACTCTGACGACTACTTTCATACTTCGTTCCACTGAATAAATACGTGATAGTTACTGGGTAAATTGGTTATTTGTTGTGATCCGTGGTGGGTTTCAGGTTCTCAAGTTGGTGGTTGACACCGAATCCGTATGAAATTGTGCTGTCATCTATCCGCTGATTTCGGCGCTAAGCTGGGTTTCGTGCTCTCATGGTGGTGGCCGTGGTGGCTATGAAGAGATGAAGAGCATGAAGAGTATTGTTATCTAGGTTATAACACCGTGTAGTTCGGAAAAAGCCAATTTTTCCGGAGTAATTTGTCGTCGTCATCCTCAGGGACGAAGAGTAAGCCAAGCAAATAACCACCAGAAGAAGCATGCGACAAACTACAAAAATGTTTGGCGGTAGCAGCCACTGCCAACAGCTTAGTCGGTAAAGACGTCACCTACTAGCCAACGTAATATCCCCCCCACCAACGGCAATCATAACAGGGCAGGCTCCGCTTAACCAAAAGGGTTTGAGAGGGAACGTTGCATTCTTTGCTGTCAGATGGCCGGCCGGTTCTATGTCTGTATAGGAAGCATAGATCAAAGTTACCTTTCCTCTGAGCATTTATGTACTCTCCTCACAAACCCTTGCCATTTGTGGCAAGATCGTATTACTGGATGATCAGGATTGCTATGAGCTCCGGTTACATAAGTGTTGCCTAGGAGTTTGAATGGGAATGTTATTGGAGGTATTTTGGCCTCTACTAGCATAACATTTTTGGGTGTTGCCTTCATATATCCAAGGGTTAGTCTAATGGCTTTGCACTGTATTTTTTCTGGCAAATCCATCTGACCTATACTTAGGGAGTGAAATAGAAAACCTCCATATTCGATGCATAACCGGATTAGAATTGTATGTAACTGCAGGATTATAGTAGGATCCAGTCCCATCCATGTGGTCAAATGTAACTAATAATTGTCATAGGTTTAATGCACTTCTGCCTAATAGCTTCCACTTGATGATTCCATTTTAAATCAGTTTCAAAGTATAGTCCTAGGAATTTTATTAATTTTCAGACATAATCATCTTATCGCCCACGCCTTTTCTGTTTGAGATCACTTGTTCTTGAATATACACAATTTACATTTTTCAGGATGTAATTGTAATCCGCTATCATGAAGATACTAACTTAACTCTCCGGCTGAGTTTTTCAGTTTAGGTAGAGCTGCTTCTGGGCTTGTATCTGTGGTGTAAATAGCCATATCATCTGAAAATTGTAACACTTTAAATATTCCTTTAATGCTTTTCTCCAGAGACACCATACAAATATTACATAGCAGCAGACTTAACCACTTCCTGGAGGCAAGCCATGTGTAACTCTTCTGATCATGTCAGTAGCGTCGAATTTGATCCTAAGGTCATTAGCTCTGGGGTTTTCATTTCTGCTAGTTTTTCAGTTAAGATATTTACCAGTACATTGTTATACACTGCTTCTATATCCAGAAAAAGAGCTCCAATTATTTTGTTGTTGTCGAAGGTATTTACTATGTCAGAATACATCAGTGCCAGGCTATACACGCAGCATTTATTTTTCTAGATTCCAAAGTATAGGTCAGTCAGCTTTTTATGGTGTTCTAGCCACAAACTTGTCTGAAGTTTATCATTCTTTCAAGAATCTTCAGTGAGCAGGTAACCAATGAAATAGGTCAAAAGTTTTTCCCATCCACATTTTGGATGAAGAAGATTGCATATTGTTTCCTTCACTGTGGAAAATTCCAGTCTGCAGAATCTCATTGTATAGGCCTAATAATACCCCTCTCATCTCTGCTGGTAAGTATTTAATTACTTTGTAGATGATGACATCAAGACCTGTGCTTGATTCTACTTTCACACTGTCAATCTCTGAGTTCAGAATGTTCAGACTGTCATGAACGTCATGAAGGTCATGAAGCTGGACTGTGCTGCTGCCTAGTGATGCACACAGAAAAGCTAGTACATCCATTACAGCCGTTTTACTTCCATTTGTGACCTATTTATTGACTCTTCTTTGTAATTTAATATTGATTGATTGATTGATTTATTTAACATCCATAACTGTTACATTATGTACAATTGGACAAGTCAGTTTTATAAAAAAATATATGAGATTAAACATCACATCAAATGACTAATAATATAAAAAACCATAGAAAAATAACATAATAAATCCTTTAAATATGATAAAACAGTGGATGAGTATAATAAGGCAACAAAAGCTAAACTATAAATTACATGCAATATCTAAAATAAATTACCTAAGTATCTTTGTTCTATTATTAAGCTAATTCTTGTAAAAATATTCTTGAAGGGAATAAAAAGCTTTGCACAACAAGTAATCCTTTAATTGACGCTTAAAAACCTTGAACTCTTGAATACTTCTTATTTGAGAGGGCAAGTTATTATACAATCTTATTCCCATGTTAATCACACTCCTTTTACAACGTGAGGTGTTACATGGTTGGACATACAAATTCTGCTTATGTACTGTGTTATAACCGTACACATCTGAATACGAGATGTTATATACCCTATTTTTCCTTAAAAAACACAACGTCTCAAAGATATACAATGAAGTTAAGGTTAAAATTTTAAATTCACCAAAAAATTCTCTACACGATATCCTGTTATTGACTCTTTTGATCAGTCTTAAACATTTTTTTTGGACTTTAAATACAGTTAAATATGACAAAGTAGTCTATGTATGGAAAAATTTTGCACCTGTAATGTACCTATACTGTACTCTGACTCGTCCTACAACATGCTGTGTAGCCTCTGTGGGATACCAACATGATCTACCTGACCATCCATCTATCAGTCTTAAAATACCCATCATACTGTAGATGGAAATTGAGTTGTATAGTGCAATGTGCATGCATAGCTTGTTTCATAGCATTGCTATGATTCTAGATGTGAAGATTCTTGTGTAGTTTCTTTAAAGAAACTTGGTTTAATGTACAATGCTGTAAACTTAAACTATATAGAGTTGTAAGATTTGAGGCTTTCACTGCTTTCACTTGTATACTTGCCCTTCCCCCCTACCCTCTCTGCTCTCACATAGCTGTGTATTTCCACACAGTCTGCTTTTACCGGTTCTCACGGTCTCTCCGCTTGCAGAATTCTTATATTTTTTCTTCTACCCTGAAGATGGAGGCAATACGTTCTTCCGAAACGTCGGTTAACACCACATATACATGGTGCCAAATCCCAGAAGACTGCTTTCTTTATATAGAGTTGAATTGGAAAGTATTTAGAAGGAAGTGGTTATGGCTTAGTTGAAGTACTAACATAGCATTTGGCTAGAGGGACTGATGAAATCTATGAAAACCTAAGTAAAGATAATGTTATATTTTAGCATCCTGTTGCACTGATTCACGTTCATGATGTGTATTTGTACTAACCGTCTTACAGTGCACTCAACTTCACCTTTCTCTTCACTACATGTTTTGGCACTAATGTGCCATCTTCAAGTGTTGTTTTATTTACGTCAAACCATTGCACTGTATGCCTTCATGTCTCCTTTATAAAATGATTAAAATGTATATATGTCATGTATAATAATAAAGTTTATATATTAAAACTTTTCAAGATTTATCATCTATACGTCGCACTTCAAATTCGCAAGTTACGTCAATCCTCTCCTATGGGAGTACTCTTCCTATATTCTTGTGTATATTGTGTCCTGTGTTGTGTCCTTCCCTTGTGACTGTGTGCGTTGTACAACACAACACAGGACACAATATACACAAGAATATAGGAAGAGTACTCCCATAGGAGAGGATTGACGTAACTCGCGAATTTGAAGTGCGACGTATAGATGATAAATCTTGAAAAGTTTTAATATATAAACTTTATTATTATACATGACATATATACATTTTAATCATTTTATAAAGGAGACATGATGGCATACAGTGCAATGATTTGACGTAAATAAAACCACACCTGAAGATGGCACATTAGTGCCGAAACATGTAGTGAAGAGAAAGATGAAATTGTGTGCACTGTATGACGGTTGGTACAAATACACATCATGAATGTAAGTAAGGATAGTTGATACCCTGGCTGAGATTCTAATCAGGCGCCTTCAGAATACTGGTCACTTACCATCTTACACAGGAACTGGTTAAATCAGTTCAACCACTGCACTTTTACCTAAAAGTTGGAGTAAGGTCCTCTGCATATTAGGAGTTAAAAGTTATTGTTTATATGCCTGAGCTTATGTGTATGTGTGTGTGTGCACAAGGTAGCCTAATAGTTGTCATTCTGATTACCGACTGAGCCAAGATACCGAGCCTCGTGATTCGTACTACCGATTACGAGCATAGACACATCAATTAAAAACTTGCAACGTGATCGAGACGTTAAACAATATTTCTACCGTTTCCACCATCAAAGGGTACGTGCCACGGGTTGGTCAGTCAATTCGGTGAATTCGTTTATCTGTTCACATAAGTGCCGGTGCCTTGCGGCAATTGTTGAAAGCGTCCGAAAGTATGAATGGAAGGAATGGAAGTATTAAATACTCGGATTAATGTGTAGTAATGCTGTGTTATTTCTTTAGAGACAATGGTACTCAAACGTGTATATTTTTCACCAGTATAACAATGGTATGGTAAAGTTACTGTGGTCACTTCACTTTCATTTTAAGTGTATTAATTTCATAGACGTCAAACAATGGCGACGAGGTGGAGTAGTGAATTTATAGTTGCCGAACACAGAGACTTACAGGTATGAATTATTGAAGGCATTTGGTTCCTTTACAACAGTGGTTCTCAACGGGGGCATGACGTATTTCGGAGGAGGCCACAGGTAAAAGTCGGAAAAATGGGGACAATAGAAACTGTTAAGTGGGCTACGAAAATTTCACTTCTAAATTAAAATTATTAATATAAAAAGAAACAAAAATGCCAAATGGTCACTACATATAATAACAAAATGCCTAGTAGGGACAGAACCTTCTGTATTTAAACCACGACCTTACGTCGGGGAATTCCAAGTACTGGTAAACAGAGACTTGCCTTCTCGGAGCGGGCAAAGCCCTAACGAAATGTTTAACTGTAAACATCTTTTATGATCTTAGATATCTCCCACTCCTCTCGTGAGTTTTACCTCCACCTTTTCAGTAAATTTTAGGTATTCGGTATTCGTAGTGTTTGGAACAAGACATTTTTCTGTGCAAGTTGTAATATTGTGGAAATTCCCTACTTTGGAGGTAAGTTAAAAACGGCAGGTACTATTTTCCTACAACTAAGCATTACATTTCACAATAACTTGAACTTTCATTACAATAAATTATTAGCTTTCAATAGAATTTGAATACCCTCTGTCTACAAAAGAAAAGTGTTCTGAATTAATTACAGCTGTTTTGTATTCATTTTAAGTAGAAAGTTCAGACGGCCCAGAATTGTTTGTCTGCATGGACCAGTTTGCTTGGTTTATGTTCAAAGGTATAGATACACATTCATATAGATATCCATATTTTGTTCTGTTTTTTCTTTTGATTGCCCACTCCTTGAACTGTAAAATTATTTAATTCAAATATTATATTTTTTCCATTACTTTCATATGGCAGATTGAAGTCATAAATTAAACATGAAGTCTTAAATTAAACATGATATAATAAATGGTGAAAAATTGTAATGATTATTGGCACTAATGATAAGTATGGCAGATTGAAGTCATAAATTAAACATGATATAATAAATGGTGAAAAATTGTAATGATTATTGGCACTAATGATAAGTATGGCAGATTGAAGTCATAAATTAAACATGATATAATAAATGGTGAAAAATTGTAATGATTATTGGCACTAATGATAAATACACTGCTCCACATAATCCTTGCATCACCCAACACCCTCTCGCCTTTGAGGTGTTAATAAACCTCTTTTTTATTATTAATATTTCTTATATTATAAACAAATATATATATAAACATGCAGTTGATAAAGTACATATTTATTGTAAATATTACATTGATTATAAATGAAAAATATGAAGGGTGGGGACCACAGAAGTGAATGAAACTCAGAAGTGGGCCACAAGCAAAAGAAGGTTGAGAACCACTGCTTTACAATATTGTTTGGTATGTTGCATATGCATTCATTGTATTTGTATTGTATTGTATTTTATTTTCATCCGTTTTGCTACATAGTAACACTTGGACAAGTCATTTGGCAATACAAGTTAACAAAACAAATCTACAAAGTTACAAGCATACTACCAGAATTTGTTACAATCATAAGCAATATATAAATACAACATTTTAAAAGAATACAAAAAGTACTATATACAGCTCATGAATGGCTAAGACATCCAAACATAATTACTTGCACCCACTTTTTTATTAAAACTAACAAATTCATGTATCGTATAAAAAGAATATTTCAATAAAAAGGATTTAAGTCTTTCTTAAAAGCCGAATGAATGGTCTGGTTGGTTGGTAGTGTGACAGCAATGTTGGAATATTACCTTGTTTTCTTTGATGGTTATCACTGTACTGTACTGTATTTATGTAACAGTGGGGTTTCAATTCCATGAATGACGTGGAAGTCAAACATTGATCTTTATTGGATTGATTGGACATGTGCTATACTATTGTTGTGTTTGTGCACAGTCCAACTGACCAAGAGCTGCATTTTTTAGTAATAATATGTTCATACCTAAGTTAAAATCTGGCTACCAGCTCTGTATTACCGGGGGATTTAGAAACCTCAAGTAGGATTATAGAGGTTAAGGATGGTTTACATTGTGCCAATTTACATTCTTTTCAGGCCAGCGCTATGGCTGTAGATTCAAGTGGAGTTTATGCACTGTTAGCTGGGTGAGTGGATATCTTAGTTAAACTGTAATGAGGTAAGACTGATTGTGGAGGAGAATATTTGAAACTGGAACATATTACATGTTAGTTTTGTTTGAATTGACCTGGGTAAATAAAGGGTCTAAGGGGAAGGGGGGACTGATGTACAGGTGATGGTTGGAAATTGAAGTTCTATAATAAGTAGTGTGAATAGGAATAGCAAGATATGATGCATCTTAACTTCTTAAATTGCCAATTTTGCAGGCATTCTTTATATATAATTTGGAATAACTAGTCAACCGATTGCAGCTTCAAGGTTCAGGAACTTCAAAAATCCACCACTGGACCCTTTCCTGAACCATTTCAATTTAATTCGTTATATATTACTGCATATAAGATTAGAGGTTTTCATGGCAGTGAAAATTCATATTGTGTTCTGGGTTGTGATGTCATCTAGTCTGGTGGTCATCAGGGTAGAACATGGAGGCAGTATGTTTTGTTGAAGTTATGGTAATCACCTGCCAGACTAGCAGTATGTTACCACAACTCAAAGTCAGAGTCAAAGTCACATTGCGACTGACGGTCAGTCAGTCAGTCAGTAATTCTTGGTGTTGAGCCCCATCTGGGGCTCATGACCAGATATTTATTGCTGTTTGACAGTTACAGTATTGTTTTCATGGGGCGCCCTCTCTGACGAGAGAATGGGTCTGTATTTTGTATATGCTGCTGGCCCTTGCCATTGCAGTCTTTTTCGTGTCCGAGTCCCTTGGGATTCGTGACCATATTTTGAGACTTCCCTTTTCGTCACCCCCTACAACGTGCAGGGTCACGGTGGAGGTATTTGACCCAACCTCCACACGGGTGCAGCTCTACCACAACTAATTCTCTTGAGGTCCCTTTAATTGCATCCTCAGTCCCCATCTATCTTTGAAGTGCTCATTGTGTGAGAACTTTCATGTCCAAAATTCGTTTAGGAGTTAGTTTCCTTTGTCTGAAGTTCATGTACAGGCACATTAAGTATAACTTGGTGTGACCAACTGCATTTATAAAAAGCATAAACCACTAGGATCCTCTTGAATGTTTCGCGTAATAGTTAGTGCGCCTGCTTCAGATTTAAGTTAGTTTAGCTTGAAGATTGGCCAGTCTGACTAAAACGTTCTGAAAATCACTGCAGTTCCTCCAGGTAGTATTTTCAAGTAACTCACAGCTGCTCCTTTGCACATTCTTTACAGTAATTTTGTCAATTCTCAATCAGTACTGTGTAAAATATTGTCACATATTAATGAAGAACCATTGGGTTTGTAATGGCAGTGGGATTTACTGAACACTTGTAACTCACAGCTATGTATAATTGTAACACTGCAGCTAATCTGCACACTAACAAATCAATGTAACACTTGTCAGTAAGCTATGTCTTCACTAATCATTGCTTTATAGCAGCTGCAAACAATGTCAGCTGCTCACATAGTTGCCGGCTCTCTGCCATCTTACAACACTGACTGAGGCCTCTTTATATAACTTCAGCATCCATTTCCTCCACTGTTGCTTCTTAACTTGTTGCTGTGGAAATGTGTGTATTGAACCATTATGTTGCAAAGGATGGCTTCTCTTGTTAAACTATTCTGTCATGTCACAGTATACAGTTGACAAAGTTTTGTGCATTGTTATTACTTGTGCATGGTATGTAAATCTAATATTTCAAAGGTTAAACAGTTTCATGTCATGTTATTTCCTATGGTTTTTCATCATAAATTAAATTAATGTAACATTAAAAATATCTGTATGTATCATATTCTGACTGTAGGAATGTGGATTTTCTTAGGTTCTAAATGGCTAGTAGATATGTAAATTGTGTTTATAGAATCATGAGAATAGTAATTGTGTTTCCTTTCAGTCGTAGGTACTTGGCAATCAAGAATCTTGATGATTCTTCAGATGCTCTTCACAAAATTCCCCGTCATAGTAAATATGAAGTTGGTGCTGCAGAGTGGAACCCCAGTTCAATCAATAAAGACCTTTGTGCTATCTCTGTGAGTACTTAAAGATCTTGAAACAGTGTTAAAATTCTGTCTTCATGGAAGCAGTTTCAGTATGTTATGCATTCTGATTTCAGAGCAGTCAGCGAGTGGAGATACTGTCATGGCAGTCAGGCGGAGATTTAGTTCAAACACAGACGCTTCGCTCACACACTCGAGTAGTTAGTGATCTCAATTGGCATCGGTTTGATCCGAATTTGCTGGCTAGCTGTTCAATAGACACTTTCATTCATGTGTGGGATATACGAGAGCAGAGGAGGCCTTCACTGTCTCTTTCTGCTGTTGGTAAGGAGGTGAACTAGATACCAGATGCATGTGGAGCACAGGTGTTTGTACCCGATTCACACTCCATTTTCACTTGCTGTGTGTCCCATTGATATCTTCTGTGTGGAAAATGTTTCCAGTCAAGATGGTTTTATTAGGCCCAGTGGCATTCCTGCAAGTGCATTTCCTGAATTCTTGACTCTGCAGTTGTTTAATATCTTTATCTGAGCCAAACATAATTTAATATCCCCAGTATCCCACTCCTGATTTTCTTCTTAATTTAAGTGTTATAGTGTTAATACATTTTGATATTGCCATCATGTAAGTGTATGTATAGCAATAGAAAATAAAAATGAAGGCTGGACATACAGGTAGACTATCAAAAGAAGATAACACCATACTTGAGGACTGAATGTGTGCAGTATATGGAGATTGAAAATGTAGCCATTGATAATACTGATTTCCTAAACAAAAATATCAAACATGAAAAGAAGCAGAATGTATTTTATGTGATTTTATGTAAATCACAATTTTTGTATTTTTAATTTGTTACTAAAACACCATTTTACCACATTACAAATGAAGTATTACCAAGCATTGATACTCTATTTTCTTTTTATGAGCCATTTTATCTGATTTTTTTGTGTTGCCCCTTGAACCATCCAGGAATATCCTGGAGTAATACTTTCACATCAGGCTGTGCCCCCATGTGCCCAATTATATTGTAAATTTTTATTACCATTTTCAGGGTCTCACTTGATGCTTTCCTGTGGTCTCTACAGCTACATCCATAATGAAGAATTTTAATGTTGTGGCATAATAATACCTTCAATTTATAGTATCTTTATTGTTAGAATTTGCTGTATGAAGGTGGAAAGCCTACAAATATGCTCTCACTCAAGCATATTTTTGTTATATGTTTTACTGTTCAGAACATCACTGTAAAGTAAAGAAAGAAATCATAGTGTCCATAGACCTAGACATATATAATAGTCACAACACTGTATAACCATTAGGGAACATTTAACTAAAACAACTTCTTTCATTTGTAGAATTTTTTTATGAATATATGTAGCATCTCATTGTATAACATACTTTAAAGTGAAAGAAAACATTATTTTTAGGTTTATTAGTACATTCACATCTGAATAAAAGAAACACTGTAATGCCATACAAGAAAAGCATAATCTCCATTCACGTCCATGACTGTATTTCTTTCGTTGCAGCTGGTGCAACTCAAGTTCGGTGGAATCGCTTATCTAGATACTTACTAGCTACTGCACATGATGGTGATATCAAGCTTTGGGACCAAAGAAAAGGAACTGCTCCAGTGCAGTACATTGCTGCTCATTTGGCAAAAGCGAGTACAGATATTTTTATGTACTGGTGTCTTATAAAGAAATACTGCTTTCTTTTCTTTGTTTAGGTACTTTCATATGAGGACAAAACCTTCCAAAATGCAGACATTGTCAACATTCTATTCACTGAACAAAGTGGCTCAAACAGTAACACTTCTGATATTTATTCATGAGATGCTCGGTTTGAATCTCAGTTTGGACACTGAGTATTCTGACTGAGGTTTGTCATGGTATTCCGCAGTCTCTCCAGATATTTCAGGGAAGTGCCTTAAATTATTCTAAAACTGCTTTTGTTCAAATCCTTTTCATTTTGTTATTCGCTATGATCTAATCATTTCGCACTGTATAGCCTAAGTTACTTATTAAATAAATATAAATGTATAAGTGAACACAAATTCAGTTTAAGGATGGAAATGTAGTCATGCAAAGACCCATTACTGTGATTCCTGTTGCTGTTCAAGCAGGTGCTCTTCTGTTCAAATTCTAATATGTATAAATTTAATTTATTTCTTATCAGAGAGGTTGTTTGTGAGCAGTTAAAAACTATGGACATATAGTTTGAAAACACTCAGTTCAGTGTTTATCAAGTTACCAACTGACTTGACCGTAGGAAGGAAAATGGTATGATGATGTCTTTAAGTAGGCCATGACCACCTTTTTCCCAATCCTTAGTAATCTGTTATTCATAATCATGTTCCTTTCTCATTTCATGTCATAAATTTTGCAATTGAAAATTGTGTCACCAAAAATTCAAGAATTAATCATCAATCATTTCTTTTTTGTTGTTACTTGACAGGTTTTTCTTTTATCTCATAGATTCATGGTCTGGACTGGAGCCCAACTCATGAGAACCAGCTGGCCACTTCTAGTCAAGACTGCACTGTTAAATTCTTTGATATCACGAATCCTCGCCGTGCTGAGAGCATCCTAACAACTTCTTCACCTGTATGGAGGGCCCGTTACACAGTCAGTATAACTACATGTTCATTATGAGAAGGGTAGAAAGTATTGAAGAAATTGAAGCTTTGTAAATTTCATTGCAGATGACTTAAAGTTTTAATTAAATTTCAGTTTCAGCTTAAGTAGACATTCAGAACTCAGCTTGAGCACCAGACTGAAGACAATATGAAAATTATTATTCAGGGTTTTAAGTGTCCATCATTCTTGTTTCTGGTCAGAATTCAGATCTAATGAAATTTTTAATAAGGCTTAATTTTTATGAAATCATCATAAGCCAAGAGCAAGGTAAATATTATGGCATATTTGCTGAAAGCAAGAACTGTAAAGCCAGAGAAACAGCTGTTGATAGACGTCTCTGAAACAACATTCATTATTAGGAAATGGCCGTAAAAGAAACAACAGAACAGCATCTGTTGCTAGGCAGCAGATTCTTAATAAGAAACAGAGGAACGGTGTTTTCTGTGTGGTCCATGCTGAGGGGTTATGAGCTGAACAGAGTTCAGAGCTCAGTTGGAAGGGAGCCACCATTCAGAGAGGACTTGAGCATGGAAGCAGAGGAATAGTCACTGTTGGAGCCATTACCAGGCAACTACATACTAGAAAGGACTTAGCCTGTGCTGTAGTGATTTGCAAAATGTGGAAATTAGTGATAGTGCTGTAATTAAGTGGTCAATAAATCCAGTGTCCAATCCAAAACCATGTCAAAGAGTCACTCATACATGTGACGATATGTTTTTTTTAACAAGCTCTGTAACACTTATGTAATATTTTTAGGGACTAATTTTATATCCATTATATATAAACATGCAGTATTAAAAAAGTACAGTGTTATTGGATATAACCATGAATAAAGTTGTAGAAACTGAGGCCTGAAGAAGATTTTAACAAGTTAGAAAATTTACTTGTAGAGCAGTAATTGTATTATGTCCACTGCTGTTTGTTTAATTATCTGGAAATGAACGAAGTTCAAACTTTAATAAATTTACAGTTATAGCAGAGTATTCAGTTATGTTTTAATTAAATATGTATTTATGTACCTGTAGTATGAATTTAGGTGGACAGAAGCTCTGCTCTGTTATTGTCAACAGTGAAAGGTTTCTATAATGTTTGTGTGTTGAGAAAATTGTTGATTGTACCAGCTGACCAGTTTAGAAGTATATAAATATGTAGAATTGTGTTAAATAAATTGGTATATCATAACTGCCAGTCATTAATCTTGTTGGTTGTGGAAGGAAATGGTACTGGCCTAACTGAGGTACTATCCTGGCTTTTGCCTGGACAGACTGAGTAAAACCATGAAAACTCTCAGGATAGGTAGTGTCCTAGCTGAGGTTCAATCCAAGCACCTCCTGGATGCAAACCTAGAATGTTACCTCTAGATCAACCTGTTCATTGTACGAGGGGGCACCCAAAAATAACCGGAACCGACCTGTTGCGCGCGCATGCTTTGTAGTTACGAGTTGTGCTGCTAGGTGGTGTTAGCTGGGGGTCTCCCGCAACTGTTAGTGAGCTGGCGTCAGTCTGAGTTAAGTGGTTTGTCTGTGGTGCTCTGTTGTGTGCGTTCCTGTTTCAACCCTTTGGCGATTAGTGAGATGGCCGACCAGAAGGAACAAAGAGTGTGCGTGAAATTTTGCTTTCTGTTAGGGAAAACTGCACTTCACTCTTCAAGTCGCGGCAAACATTCAC